AATTTTATGGACTTAAAGTGCAGGTCAACATTCTGCCTTATATTAACAAAGTCCTTCACCGCAGGGTTCTTTTGTATATAGTGATGTTAAACTCCTCTAGAATGAACAAAGTGGTTATAATGTTTGCATTTAAAGCATATACTATATACAATATATGTATACGTCATTAAAAGTTAAGACACTTGAAAATGATAAACAGGGATGGTTTTTGTAGAAGGTAAACCTAAAATATTTTTGGTATTTGAAATATAAACTCAAGTTAAACATTTTTTTCAAACACTTAAAGGCTACACTATTAAAGAGCATGCATCAAAGCCATTCAAGGTAAGAGAGCCAACATCAGATTGTCTGTAAATGACTGTAAATCAACAAGAAGAAGTGAGTGAAGGCAGAGGGAAGCATTTTTCGAGTAAGCTGGTAAATATGTTTGGTTTTGTTTAAAAACTTAGAAAACTAGTGTAAAATAAATCTGAGGGATTCAAAATTCTGTCAGAGACTCACTTATAGTCCATGTCAACCTTCCTTAAATAAACGTTGTATACAGAATTACCTGAGTGCATATTTAACAAAATGGTCGTGTTCAATGCTGTCCCTGTTGTCCCTTGCAAAAAAAATGTTCTTGTAAATTAAAAACTTTTTTTCTGAATTGATATTTTTTTTCTGAAATATGTAATTATGTCTGAATTTATGTATTTTTTGTTGCACCACAGTAGTGCAAATATTTGTGAAAGGAGTGTGATATTCAGCTTTTCATATGAAATGTAGATGCTCCTTTTATTTAGGATTCATTTCCACTTGCAGTAGCACTCTCTCTGTGGTTATCCATGCAGACAGGAATCAGAAATACTGTGTTTTTTCCAGCCAACTGAAGATTAGGTTTGTACCACTTGGACTTGAAAAGCCGATCTCATTCTAGCGTTTGTAGGAAATTGTTTTTCTTCCCTTTTTCATGCAGGGGCTTTGACATCATTAATAAATCTAGAGACTGGCGGGCAGCCTAGATTACAAATTTGGAAACACTTCCTCAAAAGTTGATCTGATAATGATGTTGGAAGGGTTTCTGGTAGTGGACCAACAAGGATTAAAATCAGCATTATAGGTTCAGTGTAACACAGTGTTGTGAAAAGTATTTGGCCCCTTACTACTTTTTTATGTTACACAGAGAAAAATACAAAATGTAACTTTTAAATTATTATTTATTAAGAGGAAAAAGTGTCTATACACACACACACACACACACACACACTAATTGCTGCCATGGGTATATAAGCAGTACGAGTGTGTAACCTCTTCTATTCCTTCAGTTGTTGTTTTGGAGTTGCTGTAGCCTGTGTGCGACTCTCAAACTATAAATACCTATAAATTCTTTGGAGTATACATAGACAGTAAACTGGACTGGGTTAAAAACACAACTGCACTTTACAGGAAAGGCCAGAGTCCTCTCCATTTTCTGAGGCGGCTGAGGTCCTTCAACATGGTAAATGGTAAATGGACTGGTTCTTATATAGCGCTTTTCTACTCTTCTGAGCACTCAAAGCGCTTTACACAACTTGTGCATTCACCCATTCACACCCATTCGCACAAGCACATCTCTCTAAGTGCTTTCTAGATAACATTCACACACATTCATACTCCGATGGATGCATCGGAGAGCAATTTGGGGTTAGTATCTTGCCCAAGGATATTTGGCATGCAGACTAGGGGAAGCCAGGAATCTAACCACCAACCTTCCGATCAGTAGATGACCTGCTCTACCACCTGAGCTACAGCCAACATCTGGACAATGCTCTGGATTTTCTATTATTCTGTTGTGGCCAGTGCTATCCTGTATGCTGTTGCATGTTGGAGCAGCAGGTTGAGGGTCACAGATGCCAACCGAGGCCAGTAATGTTGTGGGGATCGTGGTGGACTCCTTCCTGGAGAGGTGGATGTTGTCCAAGATAAAGACAATGTAGGATAGTACCTCCCACCCACTCCATGATGTGCTGGCTAGCCACAGGATAGCACATTCAGTGAGAGACTGTGATTACCAAAAAGCACCACTGAACGGCACAGGAAATCATTCCTGCCTGTGGCCATCTCCCCGTACAACTCCTCCATACACTGTAAACACTGCAATAGTTACATCCATTTTGCACATACTCTTTTCTTACTAGGTAATGTTGCTGTCAGTGTTCTTGATATTTATTTATACTCACCTCTGTCAATCCTTGATATTTATTATTGAGTGATTTGTATATATTGTGCTATTTCTTTAATCTGTAAATCTGTAACATATTGTATTGTTAAATAGTCTAGTCTAGTTTCTGTTACTGTACTGGAGCAACTGTAACCAACATAATTTCCTTAGGGATTAATAAAGTATGCTAATTCCGATTCTGAAATAGGTGTCTTTTAAATTCAACTGCCATTCTATGCTCCTACAAGTCCCCTTACATAGGAAATATGTACTCCAGCTACAAGTCGCTTAGAAAGACATTCCTATTAAGGTCTACCAAAGAAGCGTCTATTACTGCACTGCCACCACAGGTGAGTATAACTCACTATCCATGTGAGTTATACTGTTCGAGATCAGTCCACACGTACATATGAAATATGTAGCACGGAGATATAGTACCGCCACTCAGAGAACCTGGGTTACTATGTCACCATTTTATGTAATTTTTGTATTTAAAAAAGCTTAGTTAACTTTAAAATACAGCATTTCATTACAAAATATTAATGGTCATGATTATCTTTGTAATGTTGTGATATAACGTTTAAAATAAATGTTCATCACCCTGCAGCTGTTTTTATTTAAGTCTACTTTCAGGAAAAGTAGTTAGCACTGTTTACTGCAAAACTACTCATTTTCTGTTATGTCATTTGTTTAAATCACAATTTCACTGTAAGTACAATTAATGAATTGAAGTCTGCAAGTTAAAGATATTAAGAGTAAGAGACCAAAAACTTAAAAACTTAAAGTAAATCAGCGGGTAATCAGGTTCTAAAGATTGTATTTAAGACTGCAACATTGTCAAGGCAATACACATCCATGGACAATTACATCCACGCTCTTTCCACCAGTTCAGAAGTTTTGGCGCGGGATATGTGAAGACTTATCAAAGTGTCTGAAATGTAAAATTCCAACCTCCCCTTTAGTGTGCTAGTTGGGCAAATTGAAATATGTCACTAAAGAAATGAATACAGTCCACATGGTATGGTAAGGTGAGGTAAGGTAACTTTCTTTATACCTATAGGTAAGGTAAATTTACTCAACAGAAAAATGAAAGCATTTGGCATTCATTCAACAACACACATACCTAATAAATATAAACCCCATGGTTTTTACTGCCCTATATATTGCCAGGAAAATTGTCCTCATGAACTGGAAAAATAAAAACAATCTTAATTCTAACCAATATAGAAACCATCTAATATATAACATTAGTTGATATATCCCTTTGGGCTCCTTTGATCAGCTCCATCACCTAGCTGGGGTGGGGGTCTTAGTTTGGTCCCACCTTTGCTATTGTGGTTGATGTGGAGGTAGGGACGGGTTTAGGGCATTTGGAGAGTTCCTAGGGACGTTATCCCTGGAGGTTGTGGCCATGACTTAGGTAGGGGCTCTACTCAATTCAATTCAATTCAATTTTATTTATATCGCGCCAAACAGTCACCTCAAGGCACTTTATATTGTACAGTAGATCGTACGATAATAGATTCAGAGAAAAACCCAACAATCATATGACCCCCTATGAGCAAGTACTTTGGCGACAGTGGGAAGGAAAAACTCCCTTTTAACAGGAAAAAACCTCCTCCAGGCTCAGGGAGGGGCGGCCATCTGCTGCGACTGGGCTCTGGAGGCTCTTAGATGGTGTTTTCCTCATGGCTGCATGCAGCAGGGCTGGTGTAGGGTGGGGGCTTGGGGTTCTCAGGGTGCTCCGCCTCCGTGCTGGGGCTCTAGCTGGGCCTTGGGGGCTTTGATCCTCCTTGGTGTGTCGCTGAGGTTGTGGGCGGGTGGGTGCACGAGTGCTTCCTAACTACATTGTTACACATTCAGACTCTTGACATGCAGACTGGAGGAGCCAGGGATCAAACCACTAACTTTCCGATCAGTAGGTGACGTGACATACGTCTTATCATGCCAGAAGTCAGCCAGCAGTGCTGGCTTGATACCAGATCTGGGCCAGACCTCCTTGCTACGTGGGATGGGGTGGATACAGTTTCTTCTGCGGTGGGGTCGGGTGGGCTGTTCCGGGTCTGTGGAGCTTGGCGGTGCTGCTGCCGTGGGCCCCGGTCTGGATGGCCTTGGTGGGTTCCAGATGGCGGGGGTGCCTATTGGGGTCAGTGGGGGAGCTTGCCCCAGGGAGGGGCTGCTTGCCCTTCCCTTCCTTTCCTCCTCATCCCCGACTGCCATCCCCGACTGCCTTCCTCTTCTCTTCCCGCTCCACCACACCCACCCACACAGGGGAGCCCCCCATAGTTTTCCTATCCCCTAGCCATGTCTGTCCCATCTGTAACAACTGAAAATAAAATAAAATAAATAATAACAACAAAGGTCAATCAAGGCAAGGCCCTGATGATCCACTTGATAAAGTAAATCCGTTTGGTATCTTTGTTGGCCTTAAGACATCAATTCTGAAGTCTAAAGACAGGGACAGGCAAAAAATAAATAAATGAAGACTGCAACATTACTAGTCTATCTTGATGTCAATATTGCATTTTGAATGTCAGTTATTAAAGTTAGTATTTTGAAACAGCCATGTTTTTTTTAATTGATTTTATTGTTTTTCGGCAGTACAAGTACCACATGTAGTTGAGATTTATTTTTTTTTCCAGTTTTGGATGAGTCTCGACAATATGTGGTGCTCCGGAGGCTGTTCAAATGCACTAATCAAGTCACAGTGCACCTGTGTATCTTTTTTATACAAAGCATTAAAAGTAATATATTTATGTTTAGCCTTAAACATTGGACATATAACTATTTCCTTATACTTCTCCCTTGTGTTTTCTTCCAGAGAGTTATATGACTTCTACCACTATTTCTACATGCTGACCAATGTCCTGTTCTACGTCAGCTCGGCCATAAACCCTGTCCTGTACAACCTGGTATCAGCCACCTACCGTCAGATCTTCTTCTCCACGTTGCGGTACTTCTGCATGCCCTGCCGTCACACAAACAGGAATCAACCATACCCCCTCAACCGCCACTCCATTAGCATCTCCAGTAGCCACACCCTTTCCACTAACATCATTAAAGAGACGGCATACTGATTAAGCTGCAGATAAACACACTTTCTTTCACTTTGTCATAAATTCATACATTGCCACATCTTGATTACATTTTCCCAGAGGAAATTCTGGCATTGAGTTGGAGAATGTGGTCACCATCATCGTCATGTGAGGTTAAATTCTCACTCATTAAATGCTCTGATTTAATTTCAGACACATTTTCTCATGGGTTATTGTGTTTCATACCTTTAACATGAGATTGTTAAATCAAAAAAGAAAATACGATGGATGGAAGAAGAGGGGGGGAGGCAAGACTTTACAAAAGATACTGATGTAAATTATTTATACTGTATGTTTGTACATATATGTTTTTATTTCACCAATCACTGAAATGAATTTAATGGGTGGTGTACCTCACTGGTTCAGTTTTCCTAAACATTTAGCTTATGTAACTCCTAAAAGTATTTTCTCAAAAACAACGCCTTGTAGAAATACTTTGACCACAACAACAGCTATGATGTAACCTTCCTTTTGGATGGATTCATCTGAGGAGAAACCTAGCTTTGATGTTAGAAAAAACAGTGCAAGGAACATGTATTTCTCTAAAATCTAAGTTGTATTGACAGCTGTATAGGAAGAATCTCTTGCATCATTAAAATTTACTTCTCTTGTGTGATTTGGCTTTTGCAGAACAAGCTTTTCAGCTAAATTATTGGTGAAAATGAGGCTAGTCTACATAATAGAGAGTCCTCATTGCTTCAGCGCTGATATTCATTTAGCAATTTTACATACTAATCAATACTATTGGCAGTTTTTAGAAACTGTGAAATTACTGTGGCCAGAACAGAAGTGGATGTAATTGATTATTTAAAGTATTTCAAGAACCAGTAGAGGCCATTTGGAGGAAATTGCAATGGATGCATGGATGCAAATATCCTCACATGGAGAAAAGAGTAGTAACCGATACAGTGCTGCAGAAGCACAGAGATTTTCTTCAGGACCAACACAACGATGTAGAAACAATCTGAATGGTTAAAACACACAAGCTGCTAGAAAGGATTAACAACATGATGTTGGGAATTACAAACATTGTGATTTAACTTGGGGTTATTGTGTCAGATAACTAAACACCGTACCCTTTTTCACTTCATAAGAGACAGTCTGATCACACCTATCTTCTGTGTAGGAATAACATCGACATCTGGCTGTCTGTGATTCTTTAGCCATCATCCGGTCACCAGTTTTAATCAGGGAGTAGGCTATGTTCAGAGTTTTGATTCAATTTTCATTCTTTTCCTGGTGATATGCAGACTCATTGCTGATATGGAATAAGTGTTATACTTGCAATCTGCTGAATGAAAATTTTATCTACACAAAAAAGGGACACAAAAAGGGGGGAAAATCTGTTTATAGGCTACTTATCAGTGAGGAAGTGAACAGTAAAATAAAAACCATAAAAAAAACCCAGTAACATTAAAACACTTTGATCCCCCCCCCCCCCCAACAAAAAAAAAAAAAAAAAAAGAAAAGAAGAAAAAGTACATAAATAAAACCCAATATGATTTCCTGATCTTTATATTTCAGGCCATGGGGCAGTACTGAGGTAACACACTAATATTTGAATACATCAAGGTCAAGGTTTTAGCTCTAATTTGAAGCTGTGATGCTGAAGAAATAAATGGCAGAGAGCACTCTGCATAATACCGTGCACAGATCCCAAAGCACAAAGACTGGTTTAATAAGGAAAGCTGATAACCAGTGTTGTGATAATGCATTAATAATGCATTATGCATCTCTAATTGGGGTTTTAGGTTTTGTCAAGCCAGCTTATACTGAAAAAGCCCTACTATGTTAAACTTGTTTGTTGTATGTTGTAAAGTCAGAGAAACACTTTAATCACCGGCTCTTAGTTAATACGTTGTGCATGTAGTGCAAGTGATTTACAACTTATAGCGCTAATTTAGACAACACCACCTATTCTGATTTAATATATACGGTGGTGTCAGTGAATTAGCAGCAGTTAACCATATGATGCACAAGATGTTATTTTCAGCAGCTACCAAGAGAGCCCATGCTTTTAATTCATTTATAACAGAACCTTCTATGCACTGATGTAACCTACCTGGAGATATCAATGATATGCATAATAGAAAAATGCAGTAATGGTAAAGTGTGAAGATCACAGAGGTAGAATCACTCATTCCAAAAGTCTTACTTTTGAGTTTTACTTTTGCAGCCTGCTTTTATGTTTGCCAGCATACATCAAAGGATCCTGTAGCATGCAAGCACTGGCTAAATAGAAACTGCAGCTGTGGCTGATGGGTTTGTCATGGGTTTTCAGAACATTTAGGTATAAATCAAAGCACTGAACAAACTAATACCTTGACCTTATGATGGAAAAATAAAATGATAACCCCCAGATGATTGCAGTTTTTCCCAGAGGGAAAAAATAAACAAAAACAGCTCACATCACCGCCCCGCAAAAAAAAACAAAAAACAAATCAAGGCTACACTTTGGGGCCGAAATATGCAAAATATGCACAGAATATTCTGGAATATCAATTTCATAGTTGCTAGTCCTTTTTTTCTCCACATAACAACAACTTTGTGAACTACATGGTGTTGTTTCATAAATAGAAAAAGGTTGTCAGTGTTTTCAAAAAGGTTTAACCTCTGTGTCTTGTTTGTTCCTTTTAAAAAACTGACCCTTTTTTATTATTATTGGTGACAGTTATATGCTGTTTGTTGTAATGCGACTTGAAATGTGTTCCTATGTGTTTGTGTTTGTATATTCTTTTGCATGTGCCTCATTGGAACTTCAGCCAGACAACAGATTTCCTAAAACAGAAATTGACCCTAAATCAATTGACCCTAAATCAAAAATACACAAAAAATTTACAAATTAATACAATGCACATGTACTTGTTGTTTTGTAAACTATACGGTAAGAACCTTTACATAGATGTTTTCTAATTGTTATTTTTGCTAGTCCAGAAATAATTGTAATACCTCTGCTACAGTGAATTAAGTGGGACACTGCGTGAAATGCCCATCCAACAAGTGATTGGCAGCCAGTGTGTATTAGAGACTTACATATTTGAGCTATGTAGATCTTATATCCAGTGGAAGTTGTGGAGCTCACTTCCATTAGACCAAAGATCAGTGGACACTGTTGATACCCTTAAAAATAAACTTAAGACTCACCTGTTCAGGCTTTTTGCTTCTATTTAGTTTGATCTATTTATACAGTTTTAATTGTTGTATCTTATTCTGTATTGTAAAGCATTTTGTGAATTTTGTTCTAAAAAAAACACAATATCAATAAACCTTAATTATTTATGTTTTTGTAGAATATTTTTTGCGTATTGTGAACATTCGAATAAGAGTTGGCAAACACACAGCTTATGAGAATGTGTCTATTTAGCAAGTAGCTATAATGAAACCCAATCAGACAATTATCTTGTGACATGGTGAAGGTGAGATTTTTTTTAGATGATATCAAATGTTAAAACTGTGGCTGCTTTATTTAAAGCAAAAAAACATATGCTCATTTTGAATTTGATTCCAGCTACGTGTATCAGAAAAGACTAAACATGGCATTTTTTTGTATTGTCCTTTCCTGATGTGCCAACTGCTTCCAGCGGGTCACAGGTGTGGAGAGCAGGCAGGTCAGTTTAGTACCTAGACTCTTTTACTGTGCTTCCATGCTGATGAAATATGCACAGAATATTTTGACATTGTCTTGCTGAATAAAAAAAATGGCCGTTCCTTCTCTCTCTCTCTCTCTCTCTCTCTCTCTCTCCTAAAGTTTGCCTTTTGTCCTATATCTTTTTGCTCTCTCCTTTTACCCCCCAGTCATGGTGGACAGATGTGAGCTTGATTCTGCTGGAGGTTTCTTCTGCCAGAGGGAGTTTGTCCTTCCCACTGTCGTCAAGTGCTTGCTCATAGGGGGTTGTGTGGTTGGGATTTCTTTCTAATATTGTTATCTTACAATATGAAATGCCCTGAGAGCACTGTTTTTATGAATTAGCTCTATATAAATGAAAATGAATTGAACTGAATTGGACATTCTTCCGCATGCAACATTTATGTGCAAATTACTTATGTGCACTAATAAAAATTTAAAAGCTAAATGGGCTCCCTATTCATTAGCTGGAAGAGCGCATGGTGGAGTTTAAAACACTTTTGAGAATTATTATTGGAATTATGAACCAATTCCACAATTTCCTTAATCTTTTAGTTATATAACTTACAGCAAATGAGGGACTAAACCTATTCTCTGTCATTTTACACTGAAAAACAATTACAACTATTTCTGTCACAGAGTAGATCTTCCCATCTTTACATTAGGGGGACTTTTTTTTCACACCCAATGTTTTGGCTCATGCTAATTTAGCTAGTGAGATCCACCACTTATATTTTTAACAGTTAAAAATTCCAGTCTTTTATTGCCCAAGTCTCAGTTTAAAAAAAACAACAAAAACATGTAGACCCATCAAATTAAAAGTGAGCATATAGTACTTAAAAAAATAAATATAAATGATAAACAACACTAAGTTTAGACATATGATATGTTGTGGTTGTTTTTGTTTGTTTTGTTTTTTTTTGTTTTTTTGATGTACATTTTCAACTTGCTGTTAAAATTAACAATGTATTTTGTTTTTTTAGTATATGATTCTGTTCTGCAGATGTGTATAACATTTCTCTCAGAATGTGCTTTTGTTTCTATATAAAAAGGAATAATAAAGAATGGAGAGATGCAGATTACAGTTTGTGTCTGTCTTATTCCTGTCACACTGTCTGGGATTTTCTGGGATAACATGAGGTATTAGCACCTGTTTATCTGTGAAGCAGGTAATGAAACTCTACAGAAGCCTCTGGTCTGAGCCTCCTGTTTGATTCAGTTTTCAGAACCTCAACACTGCAGCTCCCCCACTATCTAAAGTGAACACCTTTACTAATTTTCCAGAACAGAATAAGATACAGAGTTCAACCATGAAGAAACTTGTAATTACAATACATACTTTTGTAAACTATATCATTTTTAAACTCACCAGTTTTCCTAGTCTGACTTCTTAGTTGACTTCTTCATTGTAATCAGCTTAAAGCTCTTTGGTCGACACTCGTCCTTTGTCTTAAAGTTGGATCCTCATTCGAGTAAAGTACCACACTCTGTTTACCCTTGTTTAAAGTTAAGCTTTTATTTCTCTAATTAATCATTACACATGGTTAGCAGAGGTTCAGCTGTTCTGAACACTCACTACAGAGCACATCCTCTCCAGCAAATGTCAGGGTAATGAAGATAATGCTGGTCTGACAAGAAACAAGTGAGATTTTACCCTGTTATTGCTGCAGAAATCAACAACCAACAGATAAAGAAAGTTTCACTTTACCAGCAACTGTACAGCCTGGTAATATTCTCCTGAGAACCACGCTGTTTATTTATGTCCTCTGTAATGGACATTTGTGTTTTGCTCTTTTTTCTTTTGACTTATTTGAGCTATCCTAATAAGTCCTGGCATACCATTAATACCTCATGCATTTGGGTGGCCTCTTTTAGTTCCAAAGAGGAAGGAAATTACAAAAAAAAAAAGTTAAACAGGAAGATTTATTTTTCCTCTGCTCTCAGGAGGATATAAAAATATAAGGAAGATTGAAGAGTTACATAATTTTTTTCTGACCCACAGATTTTAAATAGAATAAAAAACTATTTCTGTTGAAATAGATGGAAGTTGTACATTTAAATCCTAATTTAGTTGTATGATTTTTAGTTCTAGTTAAGGGAGCTAAATTTGTATTATCTAACAGATAATTTTGCTAACAAATTTCATAGATTCCTTAGAACAAATCTACTTTATCTCTAAATCTCTTTTTTATCTCTAAATTTTATCTCTAACTTCAATTTTATATTTATTGTTGTTAAGAGTTTATCTACAGAGTTTGATGAAAATATTTTTCATTATTTCATTTCATTTTATTCACAATTATTTTTATATATTTTGTATATATTTTACAGTTTCAATGTATAAAATATATGTATATGTAGATAACCAACATATAAAAAATAAATGAAAAATATACAGAGCAGAAGGTGCTGTTTTGGTTAGCACTGTTGCTTCACATATATTGCTTATATTCATAAGATGGAAGACGTCTGTCTATTTAATGAAGTTATCTGAAGAGTTTTAATTTCTAGTTTTAATCTTTGAACCAATGTTCCGAACTCATGAATAAGCAGATCACATTTGGTTTTATGGACAGTTAGAAAAAATTGCATTTTGCCTTCATCAAGCTTTAATGAAGTTTTCAGTTATCCATTTGTTAATGTCAAACACAGCGCTGGAGACCTCACGACCAATTGTTAGTCAGTGGTGCTAGGATCAGTCATTATGCAAATGTACAGTTTATAAGGTTAGAGAAACTTGCATGCAGCTGAGACTGAAGAAGTCACGTGGATGAGTGACAAAATGTTTCTCCCACTAAAACAGCTACATCCAGACCTCACAGATTTCTTGAGAGAACAGAACAGATGCAAAAACTTGTTAAGTTTTTTATACTATTCTTTGGCAATGTCATTTGTTGACATTGCTAATGATCAGTAATTTCCAGTGTTATGGTCTAACATGCACACTGGCCTCTGGAGCTCTTGATTCTGGAAGCAGACCACCTCTGAGGACAACATGCTCCTCATTATACCAGTCTAGAAGATTTACTGCTCGACTGAGGCTTGAGCCAGAAGTTGCCAGTCTGGGTAATCCATTTGCTAGAGAGAACTGCGGCTGGCACCAAGCTAACATGGGTTAAAGCACTGCACCTCTGGGGTCACCATGGCTCTGTGTCAAATGTAACTCAATGGCAGTGGTGGACTATGAAGCAAATTGTCCCAGCTCCCTATTTCCACTATTCAAGGTTCCAAAGGAGCAGGCATGGAACACTTCTGCGACTTGAAAATTGGTACTTGTCATCATCAGACATTTCTAAAGGCAATTTTAACATACAGCAGAAAGCAACCAGTCAGTCCTTACCACAGCTTAGTGGGAAAATTCTTGCTTTGGAGACCAACTGTAGAAGAGAAAGGCACTCAGTTCAGATGATCCATGGAAACAATTTGATATGCATCATTTGAGGAGCAAAAGATTAAAGCAGTTAAACCATCACTATAAGTAAATAAAACCTTAGTTTCAGATTAATCTTAAATGTGATGAACCTATCTCTAATAATCGGCTATGTACCACAGGCCTTCAAGCTGGCAGTAGTTAAACCTTTACTTAAAAAGCCATCTCAGGTGTCCCAGCTGTCTTAGCTAATTATAGGCCAATCTCCAATCTTCCTTTCATATCAGAAATCCTTGAAAGAGTAGTTGTCAAACAGCTAACAGATCATCTGCAGAGGAATGG